TCTGATTAGAAATTTTTCAGCAAGGAGATATGTTCTTTTTAGCAAAATAAGAATTTTCCAATTCGGTTCCAAAATTTTTTCTAGATGAGTTGGCCACTTAAAGCTCACAGTTTCAGATACAGAATCTGTTATTTCTGCAAACAGAAATGAGGAGAGACAAAAGTCACAGGGTTTCTCTTAATCGCAAGTGTAAAATGAAGTGGTTACTGCTAAAAAAAAAAATCAGATGAACTCTATAGATTGAACTTCACACTACTAATTACATTAGTATTAAACTTACTTTGTTATCAAATTGTTAATTGTTAGTTTGCTTTACAAAAAAAGCTAGAAAACAGTTACCAAAGGATCTCTGATCCTGTTAGATGCTACTCAAGAGCTCTAACTTACTGGCTGACTCATACAGATTCACAGGAAGCACTGGCTGTTGGGTACATCGCAGGCCGATGCATGAATCATGAGCTTACTCTTAACTGACTGATGGTTTATCAGCCTTGACTCTCAAGCTGATAGGCAGCTACCCAGTAACTGCAGACAACTGGCCAACTGCAGAGAAGTACCAGGGCTCTCGGAAAAGGAAACGTACATATAAAGCATGCTGGCCCCCAGTTATCCATATCCCAGTATGACTGCAATTACTGTATTACTGACATGTATTTGACAAAACTGTGGATACCTTTAGAGTTAGACCACTTTATGAGCAAACCTGCAATTCGTATGTTAAAAGACTGTCTTTTAGACCCGAAGAACAGTCCTTGTTTATGCATGAGAGGAATATCAAGTTCAGGGCTCATCCTGTCAGACAAGAATCCCACTTAGTATGCACACCATTAGAAGTTTGGGGTTTTTTTTCACCCCACCTCTGCCCATCTTGTGACTACCACAATACAGAGCAGTCTTTTATCCAATACTCGCTTCTATAGATCACCTGTAGTGGTTCTTAACCAGAAAATTTATTCTGAAAAGAACCCAAGTTTTTCCAAATCCTTGCATTTCAGACTGTAGATCAGTATAATCTTTTATATACCTGTTTCCAAATAAAATTTAACAGAATAAGACTATGAAGAAAAAATCTATAACAGAGTAATCTTTAAATAAGTTATCAGTCTTGCTTTGATTAGGGAAGAGATTTTTGTCTCCGTGGATTTTCCTTTTAACATGCTGAACTTCTGCAATTTAGTTCTATGCAATGTAATGTTTTTCTTACAATTTGTTTTTTTATATTTTGACAAGCAATGACTAGTTTACACTTATTAGTCCTTGAGCAATAAGCTCTAGGTACAGACCCATAATATAGCTGTGGGTGACTGCTATAGATACAGTTGCCACACAACAAATTGGGACTTTACACCCACGATATATAAGTGAGTCGCAGCTACAATAACTGGCAGGTGCTAAAGAGGACAGTTGGGAAGACAGAAGAAGTAGTATTCAATGAGCGGGCGGAAAATAACTTTCTAATGCCTTGAGCAAGTGAAGGCTACAAAGACAGCCTATGTTACTAGAAGAGAGTTTATTAAAATTATAAGCACTAAAAATCTGTAAGTCAAAGCCTCATAAACCCGTATTTTGGGCAAGACAAAAAAAGATCAGCAACACATCATGGAAGTTACTATTTTAACGCTGTATCGGTGGTATATTATCTACATGAAATTATTTTTAATTGAAACCCAAAATTTTATTGTGCTGATGTGGTATGCTGAAATTTGAATAGTATGAAATCTTAACATTTCAAAATGTGCAGTTTCTTCTTTCCTATCTTTTCCTCCTCGTGGGACTTCCAAAAGGTGCCTAGGAAAAAAATAGGCAAATTCCATACTGCAGAGTAACTTGAACCACATAAATGCAGGTTATGTTCCTAAATGCTCATAGCCAAGTCTGAGGGACTACAAGCTCAGAAATGAAGGGAAATAAAAAATTAGAAAGAATGTTTACCTAAATCAACTTATCCCTTATTCACAAGGATCGTACTGTGAATGCAGTATATTATTCTACTTCCTCAACTTATTTTAATACAGAATAGCTTAATATGAATAATTCAGAGATCTTCAACCAGGCTTGAAAGATACAGATACTTAGTACAAAAGCTCTGAATCAGCTGGAATATCCAGACTTGCATTTCATTCTCTTGTTTCCCTCTTCTGCTTCAATCTCATTTGATAGAAAAAACTAATTTCTGGCATTTTTACTTGATTTTTTTTGCCCCGCTACTTCTCTGCCTGCTATGCATTTTACCCTCTACTTCAAAAATTTTCTTCCCTATTTCTTTTCCGTTTCTGTTTCTACCCTGCTGTGGGGTTGGAATCCATTTTACTCTCTCATTACAGGAAAACCATGTTCTGCATTTCCTTATGAGAAGGAAGGATTGACTGTGTTTTTGATATGAATCTTTACATCACACTTGGCAGTGAGTATCCTCTAGGTTAGCCAGCAGGTTTGTGTTTGAACTGTAAAATGACTCAGTGCAATATTCCAGTAAAGATTCTCCATAAATTCTAAAGAATAGAATTTATCTACCTGAGCCTTGTAAGAAGTTTAATGCAACACAACTGACTTTAGGATAATACATTCTTTTTCATCTGCCACTACTAAAGGTAAATTGCTACAGGAAAGACCCGAAACTTTGGTTCCTGTCTCATTCCCCTGTTCATTATTCAGAAAATTGATTTTAATATGAGCTATATCTGCAAAAGTTACAGCTTGATATGCTAACTATCAGAGAAAGGGGGAAAGGGGGGAATCTTGTTCTAACATTTTCTTTTAAAGCCAAAACCACCTAGTAGCTGGTGGGTGAAACACAAAGCTAATGCAGAAGGCAAGTACATCTAAGATGAGTCAAAGATAATTAATTGGCAGATATGCTTTCTCTTCATTTCTGCTGTAGATGATACAAGTAGGTAGAAAACCAGCACCATGGATTTCTGACTACTATGAAGTCTTGCCATCCATAAGCCAATTGTCCTGCCTGTGGTTAAACTGGTAAGCCATGGAGGGGAGGCGCTTGCTTGTTCTTAAACAGATTAGTTTCAAGCATTATTTTAAGTATTTACTTCAGATGTTTGAATGTTTTATTACTCAAATGAAAGCATTTACATTTTCTGGTTGTCCAAAGACCTAAACACTGGAAATCCAGACCACAGTACTTCAATTTGTGCTCAAATATTAAAGCTTTCCAAGCCACTTTAGAACTTGGTCATTGCTGGTTTATCTAATACATTGTTGAGAGCCAGGATAATGTCTTAAGTATTAAAAAAATATAATTATCTCCTACTGACATCTGTGGGGATATTGCTATTGATTTCAGTTAATACAGGATACAAGAAGAGGACTTACAATAGAATTTTCAACAAGGGAAAAGTAAAACGTGAGAGATATTCCAGATAACACACACACACACAATTATGGAAATTGTTCCTCTCTGCTTCTTTGCCAGTCACCTTTAGACTGTTGCTCTTCTAAAACAAGCCAGTGTGTCAGCTCACTTGATGCTCAAAGAGAATATATTCCAGAAAAGCAGTTCACAGGCATATCACAAAACTTATCTGATGACTACTGACCTATTTTTAGCAAAGATAATAGAAGTGTTATGAAGAATAGAGCTGTTAGTGGTCAATAACATGACTTTTGGCAAGTCTAAAGGAACTCACAGAAGAGAATTCCACAGTGGGCTGTGCCTATGGTAATTCCACTGGGATTAGAGAGTCCACAAACAAGAAAATCTCAGCAAAGTTTGATCTAGTCTTTACACATCTGCTACTGCTCAGCATGCATCTTTGTATTTTTAAAATACTAAAAGGTGCAGTAAATTAATTTTTTTCCTTTTAAAACAAAAATACTTTAAAGATACATCTGGGGTGTATCATATTTCTTTGCTAAGTAGTTCAATATTGCAGCCCACCTTCAGAACTATTACCCCTTTTTCAAGAAAATGCAAACGACCTGTCACAGACTCCTAACCACATTATCCTGCCTTCTCCAATGTACATTGACTTTCCTTATCTCCAAATTAAGTATTCTATCAGAAAGCATCCTGGAAGAAATCCAGAGCTGCTGTTTTCCTTAAGAAGAGATTTTTCTGCAGTAACAGTTTAAGAGAAGATGAACAGAAAGCAGTGTTACAGGCCTGACCCAGAAGGCCACGTTTTCTTAATACAGTATATCTAGAGAAAGGTTTATAATTGCAGAAAAGAATTCATAGTTAAACAACAACACACTGTCAATCACAACTCTGTATTGTCCCCAATAACTGGAAATTCTGAAAATAACTGGACAAACAGCTATTTTCAGAATCCAGCTCAAGACTACTAATGATATTTTCAACCAATCAACAGATTACTTCCATGCATTTGACCAACTGTTTGATTGCAAAAACTGTAATTATGCATATAAGACTCTGCATGGTTATGACTTTTAACTTTCTCATTCTTTTGTTCTATAGTTTGAAACCAGCAGCTCTGCTTTCTGTAAACAACCTGCAAAGCAAATACAGAAAGTGACTACATTAGGACTGTTTGCTTTGTACTGTTTGCTGTTCTGCCTCTCCCAACTTTCAACACAGCACGTTAACGCTCACACAAAAGTAGTTTCAGAACAAATCAAAAATGTATGCAAGCACACAGAAACCAGCGGCCACCATTCAAGAAGAGTCCTTCTCCTCAATTCTGTTTCAGCAGAATCATTAAAAACACATTTACTAAAACCATCCTTTTCAATCAGCTGAGTTAACATACTATTGTTCATGATTGAAAGTGTCCTACGTTGCCCATAACCAAAAGTTCAGAGACAAGACGCTTAAGTTTTTTTTTTTTTCAAAAAGCAAATTAAGGCTTTAAACAAATGTTTCCTCTTTTCCAGTTGTTCTCTACTTCACATTAGTTCTGTGAACTGCCAGCAGGAAAACAAAGTTTGTATTTTGAATTTTTTTTTTTTTTTAAAAAAAAGATATTTCACTTACCTAATTCTTTAGAAA